GAATCGATTCAGTATATTAACCTCGCACATCAAAGTAGACTGTTTGTACGTGTTTATTGATGTAATGGTTTTTGTAAATACTGTATACGTTTCTTTGAACTTTTATGTAACTCAATAATGTTGCGTACACTAAATCGTTAGGTCGTGTTTGAATAGATTTCTTTGCTTGTAAGTTATAGATACTATTCTATCTTCTATGAACTGTTCATCGAAGATTCTATTAGACGAGTTGATTTTCCATTTTAGATTATCGATAAAATAAAACTGGAAATAATAATAATATGTCATGTATTATCACAACTTAGTGATTGTTATGCGACTTAGGTACCATTGCTCCGACCGGGTCCGCCCCTCTTTACGTTTTAAAGTTTAATATAGATTTCTCAGAGATGAGATATTTTCCCGCAGTAAAAAGTATCCTATAATATGTTGACCCGGATAACCAGCTATCATCTTACCAAATTTCAACAAAATCGGTCTATTGGTTTTCTCGTGATTCGTCCCCAGACAGACAGACAGAAATTCTAAAAACTATAGATCCGGCGTCTCTATCGATGAAAACGACTATTTCAATAAGATTTTCCAAAAAATATTTAATGTACAGATTCGAGTCAGTTAGAATTTTATTATAATATATATAGATATCACTGCCATAAATTTTTGGTGACTTAAAATGTAAGATTTACGCAATTAGGGTAGGTATACATGTATTATAGTTTAATTACTTCTATTTGACGACACGTTTGGCTCCGTTTGTAGTGTCCCCCCTACTTGCTGTACCAGCGGTCGCGGGTTCGAGTCCCGCTGAGTGCATTTATTTGTGTGATATGCACGAATATTTGTACTCCAGTCATGGATGTTTATACTTATAATATGTATGTATTTAAAGTTATAATAATATATGTAGCGTATTAACTATCTGCTATCCATAACATAACCATAGCTTACCATGGAACTAGATGGTTGTGTGTTAATGTCCCAACATATTTTTTTTTTCTAGATAAAGTCCGCTGTAACTTTTTAAGTTAAGAGTTAGGTACATTTTTAATTTTTTTACCTAAAAGTGCCAGTTGGGCAAAGTTAACTAAAATTATCGGGGGGCACGGCAGTGCCCCCGCCAAGTCGAGCAAACAAGTCGAGCAAAAAAGGGCACGGCAGTACCATCCTTTTCTCGAAGGGATTCAGAGCATTTTCCACCCCCCCATAACTTCGTTATGGATAAAGCTAGAAGCTTGAATTTTGAGTGACTAAGAGAACATAATAAAACTAGGTACATTTCCAAATTACATTCAATTTGAACCAGTAGTTTATGAACTGTTGCAGATCAAATTTCGTTAATATCGTCACTCACTCACTCACCGATCATCAAAATTCTAAGGTACTTCTAGCAGACATAGAAGCTTCAAATTTTGAACACAATTCGTGTTTACTCTATAACCCAAGGAAAAATTCAAACATCACGCAATTTCAATCCTGTTTTCGAGATATACAACAAACTGCATCAGTAACTTTGTAATCCTATACAAATAGATATGCGATATATGGGATTACAAAGTTACTTGTGCAGTTCATACATATAATTGTCGTCACTTGCAATGTAAAAGGAGGTTAGGTTAGTGTTTAACCTGTATGTATGTTTGTATGTTCGATCCTATGTTCCCTCGTAATTACGATTCGTCTATTTATTTATTAATGTTGTTATTGCAACTATTGTATACATTAGAAAAATATTATTCAAATGTGAAAATATTATTTCAAGCGTTTTCAGTAACTGTATACTTTTTTATGCATATACAAATGGGTACATAAATACAACGTGAAGCGTGTATAGTGTATTACCAACTAATATTCGATTATTATAATGAATTTATTTAATTTTTGACGACACGTTTGGCTCAGTTTGTAGTGGCCCATAATATCTATGTATTTAAAGTTATATATGTGTAGTGTATTAACTATCTAGTATCCATAACACAAGCCTCGTAGCTTACCATGGAACTAGATGGTTCTGTGTGTTACTGTCCCAACATATTTTGAAACAAAGCTCGTATATTTTCTTTTATAAAGTATGATGTTGATTTGAATTAGAAAACTTGTTAACATTTCATTGCTCGTAACTGTACACATCTAATAGAACATGGAATATAGAGGTCATGAAATGGCCAATGGAATCAGTGAATGAAGAATTGACTGAACAAGCAATAATAATTAAGTATAACAACCTTCGGGATTTACCTACGATGCCGCAGATAGACACATAAATCTACACGTTTTATTAAACTTACGTAAGTTCAATATCAGTATCGGGGTAGGTATTTAGGGTCAAACAATGAAATTAAAATATTCATTAAATTAACTATACATATTTATACTTAATGCATAAGATAATAGTAATGAAGCCCAGGAATCCGCAATTTCCGAATACAATAGACTTAGATTTTTTATCATCCAGACTTGTCAAAATTTGTTATATCAAAGCCTCTGAAAAAAGCCCACAGTGACAGAGAGTGGGCTTTTAAAGAAGTCCTTAGCGACACACAAGAAATAGTACAAGAAAAGGGCAAAAGAAGAAATATTTACAAAAAGAAATGAGATCCCATCAAAAACATACTGTAAAAATATTGCAAGTCTCGCAACGCATCTCTCTACCGCAAAAAGCTATGAGATATAATGTAAAACCAAGTCCGTTAATTTATTCATTACCTATCTATGGAAGCATCTATCCGACAACTTTGTCATAAATCGTTACCGAATTAGTTAAGTTACAACATTTTATAGTGACCGTATTAATATTAGATATATTTATTTCTTTAATTAATAGAATGACTTGGCCATCGCACATGATAATAGAACCTACAAATAACAAAATTTACCTAATATTAACGTTCTGAGTGCATTATTTATGTATTGTTAGTGTATGCATCAATTTGACCCGCTAGTACTATGTTCCGTTCATTTTAGCCCAAACACGTCCACAGCTGGGCATAGGCCTCCCCCAAAAATTTCCACGACAACCAGTCTTGTGCCATCCGCATCCAGTGGGCTCCAGCGACTTTGACCAAATCGTCAGTCCACCTTGGTCATGGTATTTTTAATTAGGACTATTTAAAGTAGTAGACTCTTATGTGATTATGTTTCCGTGCGATGCGTCAAAAGATGCGTCTCGACGAGGGCAACAAATAGGTATGATTATGTTTTTGGACGAAGTAATTCTTTGTGAAAAAATATGTATTTAAACTAATAGATAAAGTTTTGTAATAATTTTAGAGTTAGATTAATAAATTTTATTATACTACTTACCTACTCTATAATTTTTTGATAAATAAATATAATTAATATGTTAAAAATAATAATTCTGTTTGGCAGGTTCATATTGTCAATGTGACGAGATCTGTGATATTTTATAGGTTTAGGTAGGCATTAATAGCTAAATTAAGATGCATGAGTGCGATTCTGATTCGGAGAAGCGCGATGACAAAATAATGTTCTATCGTGAGTGAAAAGTGTAAAGCGATAGATGCTCAAAAAAAAGCGTCAAAAAAAGTTTTTAATTCACTATAAATTAATTAAACAACAAATCAAAAAGTAAAATTTCGTAACTGAAGAAATACTTCTGGGCTTCCTGACAAAACAAAAACCCTACAAAAATATCGAGTTGTTTCTGAAATAAATAGCAATAGCTATGTAGGTATGTGTGCAAAACAAATATATTATTGAGAAAATATTCACCAATCGTGTCAATTCAAGATAACAGTCCCAAGTATCATTTCTGAGATAACGATGTCTGTGTACAAGATTGCTATTATTATGTACATTCTTAATGCCGGTAAATTTTAACTTCATTTCAATATGAATCACTTTTAATATGTCGAATCATTAATATCTTTTATTTCATCAATCCAAATTATGATTATATTATAATTTACATGTATATTAAGATGCCATTATTATCAGGCCCGTTAAATTTTTAAACCGGTTTTGGTCAATGACCCTAAATCCAAAGGTTTTTCGGTTTAAGGTTTTGGTTACGTTATTTAACCGGTTAAATCCAGGAGAACGGTTTTTAACAAATTTAGGTTCCATGAAAAAAATTAACTAGGTAAACTGAGTTGTTTATGTATTTATATTTGGCATGTCTTCGCGTAAATCTAAGAAAGTATTAATGTAATCAAATTAAAAAAAAACTTTTTTTTCTTGACGTTGATGTTATTGAAAAATTGAACCCAGTTATGCAAAGAACAGCCATGTGCGTAAAAGTACCAACAGTTATAAGCATTTTTCTGTCGATAATTGCACTTGGGTTGTTTTGTTTTTCTGGTTATTTTAAAATTGAACAATAATTACATAAGTATTGTTTATTTTTTATAATTATTTTATTTTTTATAATAAAATGCTTATAACTCTGTTGGTACTTTTACGCACATGGCTGTTTTTTGCATAGCTGGGTCCTATTATCCCAATAAATTCCACTTGTTGCCAATAGTTGGCGTTAAAGTCTATACTACAGTACCTATATGCATCCAACTATTCAAAAAGATAAACAAATTGACAGCGAGAAATCAATCAGTGTCAACATGTTTATGATTTCGTTTAACTGTTAAAACAATAGCTATTTAATATAGACAATTTTAGTCAGAACATGGGTTCGATTCCCGAGTATGTTTGGGTAGTTAAATTAATACATGAATTCTAGAATAATATTGTTAGGTAAATTATATTTTAAATTAACAAAAATCCCAGTTAAGAAAGACCCAGTAACAGCTAAGGACTCTCGGACCCAGTAACGGCTCTCAATAATAAAAATAAGAACAAAAATAAAACGATATTGCAATACATTTTTTTATATATACAAAAAATTATTGTAAAAAATGATTATTGACTATTGACAAGTATAAAATATGTATAACAATGCCATACAAATATATATCACGATACACGTGACATGATTTCTCTTATTATTAACACTGAAAATACAAATATAAATAAAAAAATATTATTTAATCTAAAAGATCTAATTTCCTCGATAATTTATTACTTAAATATGTATATTTAGTGCAGTGATACTTTAATTCTCCGACCGTTGTTACTTCAGCCACTTCTTCTGTAGGCGGTTCTAGAAAAAATTATAAAACAGTAAATATAATAAAACAGTAAAGATATAAAACTAGGGGTAGGGACTCACCCTCGCTTTGCACGGGTTCATCCTTAGCCTGCTTCCCCGTACAAACTTTCATCCCCATTTTCACCCCTTTAAGGGATGATTTCCGGGATAAAAATATCCTATATCCTTCCCAGGGACTCAAACTATCTTCTAACCAAGTTTCATCTAAATCGGTTCAGATGATCCAGAGATTACCCCCTACAACGTCACAAACTCACAAACTTTACCTCTTTATAATATAAATATAGACTAGCGACTCACCCTCACTTCACATAAGGAATAGATAGATTATAATATATACATATGTATGATGAGTTGTTGTGGGTTGTATTATAACGTGTTTTCCCGTGGGAATTAGATAACCTCCCACAGTAAAAAGTAGCCTATGTCACTGTCCAACCCTCCAACTATCTCCACACAAAATTCACTTCAATACACAAACAAACGAACAAACACACTAACATTTATAATATTAAAAATTAAGTATGGATGTTGAGAATTTTGCATGTCATACTAACAAATGATATATTTTCATGTGACAGATTAGTTTAATATTTTTTTGAATTATTCATAATAGCCAAAACGAGGTTATTAGGAAAAAAACGATGGAAAAGTTATGTGGAAAATAGGTAAATTGACATTTTATATATGATTATTTCATGAATTCAAAAACACAAGAAAATTTAATGAAACTTTAGTATAAACTTGTAAAAATATTGAAAATGTTTTATTTTCTTATTACTTATTAATTACCTAAGATCTGCCACACTTGCGGTGGAAATACTGGTAGTTGTGAGAAAACGTATGTAGTAGTTTGTGTTCTTATTGGATTTTCCTTAGTCTCCTTTTTAGTAAGTTCCATTCGATACCACAGCGCGGGCTTTCTGTAAACATTTAAAAATTAGTTTATCATAATATAGATTTCGGCAAATTATTTAGGTGGTATAAAGAATTCAGAACTCTTAAGCAAAATCGGGCATGGTCAGTACTTGGATGGGTGAACCCCTGGGAACACCGCGTGACGTTGGCTTTTTGTTTTTCGTGTTTTTTTTTATTCTTTTGTGCTCACTGAAGCTAACAGTGACTAGTACAACTGTTTGATATGTTCTGTCGCCAACGTCCATACCACGTTGAATACACCGGTTCTCGTCCGATCACCGAAGTTAAGCAACATCGGGCGCGGTTAGTACTTGGATGGGTGACCGCCTGGGAACACCGCGTGACGTTGGCTTTTTGTTTTTCGTGTTTTTTTTTATTATTTTGTCTTCACTGAAGCTAACAGTGACTCTAATTGTAAGAGCACGACTGTTTGATGTGTTCTGTTGCCAACGTCCATACCACGTTGAATACACCGGTTCTCGTCCGATCACCGAAGTTAAGCAACATCGGGCGCGGTTAGTACTTGGATGGGTGACCGCCTGGGAACACCGCGTGACGTTGGCTTTTTGTTTTTCGTGTTTTTTTTTATTTTGTCTTCACTGAAGCTAACAGTGATCTAAGTACACGACTGTTTGATATGTTCTGTCGCCAACGTCCATACCACGTTGAATACACCGGTTCTCGTCCGATCACCGAAGTTAAGCAACATCGGGCGCGGTTAGTACTTGGATGGGTGACCGCCTGGGAACACCGCGTGACGTTGGCCTTTTACATTTTTTTTTTTCAAAATAAATATCCATAAATAAATAATTTAACTATATTATTCTTAATTGACCGTTTTAATATTAAATGCACAATTAATGTTTATTTATATTTTCTTAATGGTTTTTAAATTAACTTTTTCAGGTACCATTATTAGCAGATGAAATAGATATCGGTGAGATGAAATAGGTAACGTCATCGTCACCTATAAACAATTAAAATATTATTTCGACAGTCGACTACTTAGTAATTAAGACCGAAAATATGTTAGTTTAAACTTTGTTTTTTTTTTGTTCTCGATTATTATTTGGGCGACATATTTTCTTCTTATAAAATACATTGGATTGGACATGTACCTACAAAATAAATAATTTTCTTAACTCGCACAAGTACATACCCGGTATTATAAACAAAGAAATAAAAAATAACAGCTATCTAGCGCCATCTTTGGTATATTTAAGAAAACTTTGTATTATAAATTAACGTAAACTAAACTTTCAAGTCGTACGAAAATGTACGGATAGATGGCGTTTTACTTTAATTAGTTTTTTGCATTAAATATCGATATTTTCACATAACATTTAAATATCAAAAAGTTTATTAAAAAAATTTAAGTGTTTGTATAAAAAGCTTCTGTCTATAAGACCACATTATCGTAGTAATGTAGAGAATGGAAAACACAAAAGGGACGTGAAAGAAGAGTACCTTATTGAAGATATCCGAGTTTACTCGAAGGAAACTTTCTTTTACTTTTAAAAATAAAAACTGCATTTAAAAAAAAGCTTTTACCCGACCCGCGAATCGAACCAACTAAATATGCAAATTAATAATTTGTGACTGTATCATTGAACTAATCGATAAGTTCGATTAACCAATATCTTTTTGGATATTTTCGCGGATTTATTTTGATTTTAGGTTCCCGACGTTTTGAATGCTTTATAGAAGTCATGGTCACAGGAGAGATTAAGGTTTTAGACTCAAAAAATCGTGAGAAAACAATAACCAGAACGTTTCCTAACTTATCGAAATAACTTTAATAATAAAAACTGTACTTACTTCAATTGATCTTGTACGACATTATTTGCTATTGGTATACATATTTTTTGTACCGGATCGCTTAGTAGCTGCCCAACTGTCTTTATCGGTGATTTTTCTGATACATAATATTCTAGAAGCTTCGACGCCATGGGCTTTAATTGAGCTGAAAAATAAATATTATATATATATATATATATATATATATATATATATATATATATATAAAATGTGTTTTTAGCTGACGAAAGGAGGTTCTCAATACGACGTATATATCTTTTTAAATTTTGATGATAATAACTAGCAGAACCCGCGGTTTCGCTTTCGCTAAAACTACAACAAAAAAACTCTAAAAAGGTAGGTTTCATATAAATTTTCATCCACTATTTTACCCCCTTATGGGATAAATTTCGAAAAATGCTAATACGAAGAGCATTAATACCAAGTTTCAAGTACTTCTGATCATAAATATTTTTTTGTATTGTGTTACGTGTATTTCCATGGGAATGAGATAAATCTCCCTCGGTAAAAAGAAGGACAAACAAACAATCACACATTTAGGTGATAACACAAACAAAGGCATCAACAACATCAAAATCAAGATATAGTGTAAATATGAAATATTTTTTTCTTTTCTGAATATTATATTAAAGGAATTTGAATATTACCAAAATCAGCTCTTAAACAAGTCTCAGCGCGGTACAAATGTTCCAAACAAACGTGTAGTTGAGCGAACTTAGTTAGGATATTCTTCCACGGGCCAATGTCTATTTCATCTGCTATTAATGGTACCTGAAATAGTAAATTTAAAATATAAGAATAATCATCATCAACACGTTACGATAAAATAAACATTAACAGTGTATTTAATATTAAAAAAATCAATTAAAATATAATTAAATTCTTTATTTATATATTCGTTTAAAAAAAATGCAAAAAGCCAACGTCACGCGGTGTTCCCAGGCGGTCACCCATCCAAGTACTGACCGCGCCCGATGTTGCTTAACTTCGGTGATCGGACGAGAACCGGTGTATTCAACGTGGTATGGACGTTGGCGACAGAACATATCAAACAGTTGTACTAGTCACTGTTAGCTTCGATGAAAACAAAAAAAAAAAACTCGAAAAACAAAAAGCCAACGTCACGCGGTGTTCCCAGGCGGTCACCCATCCAAGTACTAACCGCGCCCGATGTTGCTTAACTTCGGTGATCGGACGAGAACCGGTGTATTCAACGTGGTATGGACGTTGGCGATAGAACATATCAAACAGTCGTGTACTTAGAATCACCGTGAGTTTCAGTGAAAACAAAAAAAATAAACTCGAAAAACAAAAAGCCAACGTCACGCGGTGTTCCCAGGCGGTCACCCATCCAAGTACTAACCGCGCCCGATGTTGCTTAACTTCGGTGATCGGACGAGAACCGGTGTATTCAACGTGGTATGGACGTTGGCGATAGAACATATCAAACAAAAAAAAATAAACTCGAAAAACAAAAAGCCAACGTCACGCGGTGTTCCCAGGCGGTCACCCATCCAAGTACTGACCGCGCCCGATGTTGCTTAACTTCGGTGATCGGACGAGAACCGGTGTATTCAACGTGGTATGGACGTTGGCGACAGAACATATCAAACAGTTGTACTAGTCACTGTTAGCTTCAGTGAGCACAAAAGAATAAAAAAAACACGAAAAACAAAAAGCCAACGTCACGCGGTGTTCCCAGGCGGTCACCCATCCAAGTACTAACCGCGCCCGATGTTGCTTAACTTCGGTGATCGGACGAGAACCGGTGTATTCAACGTGGTATGGACGTTGGCGACAGAACACATGAAACGGTCGTCCAAATATAAATTGTGCCCAAGACGATAGTAATTTTTCGATGTTCAATCAGTATATTTGACATAGAAGTTTTTATATATATAATAAAGTAATGGCGTAAGACTTTTTTCGTTCTAATCGTAATTAATCTTAGTAAATGCAGGTGTTAGGTAATCAATAAGGTAATCTATAGAGATAAATATCTGAAGTGTCTGTTTGTAAACTCAAAATAATACCTTTTTTGCTAAATGCATATGAAATTATATAAGTACGGTATTTATATGAAAAATACTATTTTTGACATTTTTGTCTGTCTTGTCTGTTCCGCCTAATCTCCGAAACGGCTGGAACGATTTTGATGGAACTTTCTCTTTTAATCGGAAATGGATGGCTGGCAGACAGCTGATGTTATATATGATGATATATGTAATTACATGAAAGTAATTAATTATTATTGTTGTAGCTATTTAAGATATTATTTTCTTATAGCTTTAGATTTTATAAAAGATGGATATTTTATATGTGTGTTCCATTAATCTTATTAATAGCGGTAACTTGTGAAGATGTTTAAAAGTTTATGACTCGCACTTGACCATATTTATTTCAATAATAATTTAATAACGTATCGCAATTTTATATGAAACTATCTTTTCGGATTAATTCACAGATTTATTTTGATTTATTGGTTCTCTAGTCTGAAACAAGTATATAACGCCTTTGAGACGTCTCAAACCTTAAGTTTCTCCCGTGACCTTGATTGGTGTAAAAAGCATTCGAAACGTCGGTAACCAAAAATCAAAATAAGTCCGCGAAAAATCCGAAAAGATAGTTTTATTTAAAATCTCAAATATTCGCATAAATCTAAGATTTTAAATAAATTACCTCATTAACATCTTTCTTGTCATTAACAAGACCATGTTTCTTCAAAGATGCAAAATCGTCGACAGTTAATTCGTTGCCATCTTCTATACAAATGGAGTCAGTGTCGAAACGTATGGAATGGTCTGAAGTCGCTATAGCTTCAAAGGGGTTTAAATTGAAGTCACCTCCCATAGTCATATCTTGTATTGTTTGGTTTATTTGTTCTATTGATTCATGAGATCTGAAAATAAATAACTGGTTTAGGTACCTTAGTTAAGAGATGATAGAGTATGCCAAAGTAAATGTCAAAGTCGAAAATAGTAGCGTGATATGTTGTTTATGCTACTATTCTTAATTTTGTCATACAATTCGTTAAGTTTCTTTAAAGAATTAGTGGTATTTTATATATTATGTATTAGTTAAATTAATATACAATTTTTGTATAATATCAAAATTAAAATAAGTTAGAAATAATTATAAATAATAATTCTTGTATATTTTTAGCCTTAGTTTTCCATGGTAAGCTACGAGGCCTGTGTTATGGATACCAGATAGTTGATACACTACACATAAATCTTTAAATACATACATATTATTCTGACTGAGTCATGAAAAAAAATTGATAATAAAAACATAATTACCTTGAATCAGCATTCCAAATACCAGCAACAAAGAACGAATGTACAAATAAAGACATGATCCTTGTATATTCCCATACACTTTTCTCGATACCCACTTGAGCTACCAAAGATAACGCTTGAGGTGGACTCGACAACAGGTTTTTTAATACCTTAGCAGTTTGCGAATGACCTCTAGATAGCTTTAGAACTAGTTTAGATAGATATGTTTTGTTGTTAACGTCAATCTGTAATTTTAATAATAATAATATTGTAAGTAATCTATACATATAGTAATATTCTGAGTCGAATCAAATGTACATCAAATATTTTTTAGAAAATCTAATTGAAATAGTCATTATTATTGATAGAGGCCGAATTTATAGTTTTAGAATTTTTGTCTGTCTATGACCGCCTCACAATAAAACCATATGTATCCGGGTCAATATATAGGATACTTTTTACTGCGGGAAAATATCTCATCTCTGAGAAATCTATACTGAACGTTAAACGTAAGTAGGGACGAACCGGAACGGAGCGAGGTGAGTCAATAGTAAAAAAATAATAATTTCTTGACCGAATATAGTCTTTATACGCGAAAATAACACCATCAATAATGATTTATAAATTATTACTCACAAATGGACGAATTTTGCCAGAAGATATGAATTTAAGAGCCTGAATAAGTAATGTTATTAATTCCTCAGCAGTTTCACAATCTGAAAAAGAAAAAAATATATATTAATAATAACATAATATAAAACAAAGAATAACACTTAAAAACTTGATTTTTCAAAATAGAACCTTACATATATGTTATTAATTTATAGTAATTAGAAGATATTGACCATATTTCATTATAAATTGATTTGTTTAATATTATATAGGTATATGTATGTTACAGTAAAACCTTGTCTTTTGATGTCTTTGGTTATGTCACAAGCCCGACTTGGGTAACATAATTGAGAAGGCTAAAAGCTACGGTAGCTTCGCTCACGTCAGATATTCTAAAATAATAACCATATAATAAAATACCTCGTAATATATCCCATAATTTATATGTAAAATCATTACTGGATCCATGATTAGACATCATAGCCATAGCTTGTTTTAAATTGGAAGTGTCATCCGTTATACAAATGCAACCGCCCGCGGGACACTCTGCTGTGTATGTATAGGTTTCTGTTTCATTCAGCAAATCTGTTAGCCGTTTAGAATTGTTTTGTTTCTTCATGCCTGGTATTAGGTTTCTGGAATGAATTTTGGTTCGTATATTAGAAAAAAGTAGTTAATTATATTTAATACTAGTGACTCACCCTCGCTTTATTCAGGTTCGTCCCGGGGGACTATATACAGGTACGTTTTGACGATTAGTATGGAATAGATTTTTGCAAATTTTTCATCTCTTTCATTCTTTCTTTCATTATTTTTTTCATTATTCTTTCTTTCTTTCATTATTCTTTCTTTCATTATTTTTTAATCTCGACCGGTTTTAATGATTTGGATCAAATTTTGTAATTAGATAAGGTTTGGCTTTTTAAGTTTATCTATGCAGGTGTCTTCTATGAAAAATTAAATTTCACAATTTGTTGAAATATTCATTATTATCGATACACAGGCCGAATCTATAGATTGCATTGCATTGAATATCTCTCCAGATGTACAGTCGTACATGCTAGCCACTATACCACATAGCAGTGTATCAATATGTAAAAAATTTAAAATACATACCTAATAATCGCAGTTTCTAATTGTATGGAACTAACTCCAGCTGCAGTCATGTCCACTAACAATTGGTTGATGTTGTGAAGTGCAGACACGGACTTCCATATAGCATTGCAGGGACTTAATAAATGACCAACAGTTACTTCTTGCTCCTGGAATATAATTTAATATATATTATTGAACGAGCGAGCGAAGCGTCTCTGCTTCAAGTCTGGCAAAAGCTCTCTTCTGTCGGTTTGTACGTACTTCTCTACAGGTCGTATTTTACAACCGATTTGGATGAAACTTGATATACAGGTTTTATGAATTTATAGATTTTATTTTCAGAGATTTTTGATTGGAGGAGTAGTTCCTCCAAAAAGGGACAAAAAGGGAGCTACTAGTTTTTAATTTTCATTTATACATGGGAGTAAAATTTCAGAGAGAGATTTTAGTTTTATTTTATTCCAATTAAAATTGGCCCTTTAAAATGTATCTATACAAATGTATGAAATGTTGGTTGTTGGCAAGTACATTACTTGAGAAGGTAAGTACCATTTGGACTACTTTTATAAAATGCTCATCGTCAAAGTTCTTAGAGAAACAAATTTGAGAAAATACAGCTTTCTTGTAGACTATTTTATATGACCTCAAAGATCATGAATAAATTTATTAAAATTAAATCATTAATATCCTCCTTACACTGTTTAGGTGCAGAACAATTCACCAAAATTTCATCATAGTCGAATGAATGGCTATGGAACACAGAGTACAAACATTGTTTTTTATTTATATATAGAAGATTATATACATTTTACTTACAAAATGTACTTTGCAACTTATGAAAGGAGTAAGCAAAGTTTTAGAAGTCCATTCACAATACAGTTCAGTGATACCACCGTGTGGGGCATTCAAATGTTCTTCCATTGTAAGTGAGCCATATGACATTCCAGCAATTGAATATTTGCAATCCACTGCCACTTTCACCTGGAAATATAGATATTTTCTAATTCTGATGTTTAATTACATGCCCAAATGTTTGTTGAGAACAATTTCTTCAAATTTTACTGAAGTTATCTTTCCAAATAATAAAATAGTAACTTAGCAAAATCTGCACGTGAAATATTTTTCAAAAACAATGACTAACATATTGTGTACAGAATATAGAGCCCAAAACAATAGTTATCAATTTTTTTGTCTGTTTGTGTGTGTGCGTTTCACGCAAAAAATACTTATCCAATTTAACCAAAATTTTGTGTAGTGATGAGTAGACTTATTACTTGGGTCAAAATTTTGGATACCTGTTACTACAGGAAAATCTTTCATGGAAATCATTCCCATGGAAAAAAACGATAACTGATTATATCGAGTCGTTCTTAGGAATTTATAAGGCTAATGCTGGCTAAACCTTAAGAGATAGATCAAAACAATGTACTAGAAATTTGTAGGTCTTAAAAAGGCCTACAGAAAATCTGCAATAACATAAGTCTTTATTCTAAGGTACACTTACAATAACTATTTATATATATATATATATATATATATATATATATATATATATATATATATATATATATATATATATATATATATATACATATATATATATATATATATATTAAAAACATACCTAGGAACGCACCCAAGCAAAGAGAGGGTCAGTCGCTTGTTAAAAAATAAAAAGATAAAAATTATAGCACTTACCATGTCTTCACTTATATCTTCATAATTTGCAAAATCACTAACAAATTGTTCCACATCAGCCTCTTCCAGGGCCATTGAACCTTCATAAGTAACTATACCTCTTGCAAAACAGGCCTCATTAGACTGTACTGTGAGCAATAAAGGCCTGCCTTCATTACTTGGATTACAGAGTATCCACATAGGTATTGCATCTTCTTTCGGCAATATAGATAGGGTTTTGTTGTACAGATTTGCTATTTCTCTATAAGTGAATAAATCGACAAATAAATTTCCAATTTTGCTATAAATTTCAGCTTTAAAGATATAGATTGCCTAAAGCACTAGATTGAATCACAGAGGAAGAATCAATTTTATATAGAGCACAAGATGGAAGCACTGAAATTTTTAAATATATTGTGCAGTTACATAAGAAAATTAAAATAAAATAAAAAAGAAAGTGCATCTTTTATGCAACAACAAAAAATTACTCATTTTAATCAAAAATACCGGTTAGACCAAAGTTTAGCATATCACAAGTAGTATTGTAGTTTTTTTCTATCATAAATATATTTTCTTATTAGTCTACTTTCAGAATATGTAAGGAAATATCAAATCATATGACATAATTTTTCTGATTATTCTGGGGCAGAGTTGCCTTATTGATACCCTTCCTATGTTTAAAAATCTTAATTAGTGCTAGCAGTCATATTTCTATAAAAAGTCAAGTTATTTTAAGTTAAGTAAAGATATTTTAAGTAGTAGTTAGTATCATCTATGTATACTGATCAAGAGTACCTACTATTTTGATGTCAATTATTGTAATACCTACTTTTTTTAAATTTGCTATATTTTGTATCAAAAGTACCTGGCTGTTTCAATATTTACTGGACCATGAGCAATTTCTTCCTTTCTCCAAAGCTGTGGTTCATCAGGAAGAACCGTTTCATCTAATATAGCATGTAAACTTAGATCTAATTTTAATGGTGAGCCTGTTAACTCAAGCTCCTCTGGAAGAGGAATTTAAATGTTTGTCTTAATATTCAGTAAATTAAATCAAGCAATTTTATACACTAAGAGATAAATCTAAAGCTGTTCTTACCACTTTCATTTTTGTTATTTTTAAAATTATCTGATGCACTACTTGCTTTCGTCTAAAACAAATATATTATCATTAATTTCTTACATTCATATTCTCATATTAAACATAAAAAACAAAATATAAAACTTTTGTTACATACTTTGACATAAACTATTGCAATCTCATTATTTTTCTTTGTGTATATTTCGACGTAACTAGAACTTATTTGTTTATCTATAGTTAATTTTGGATAACTTTCTATAACAGGTTGTAATGAATCCATGTTATTTTGGTACCTGTTGTAATTTAGAAATTTTATCGCTACAGTAAACAATATAACTTAGAGATTACAAAACACTTGAAACTAAAATTTAAAATTCGAACCAAACTGTCATTTATTACAAACTTTATAAGCTTTTCCAGATAAGAAATACAGTTTAGATATCCGTATTAATACAGATTACATATTAAGTAGTTATGGCTTTAATATTAAGTTTTATTTATAGGCTATTATTTACTTCTTTTTAAAATAATCGTGTATTTTATAGAATTATAATGTTTATAGCTAGAGAATAGATTTACTCCAACTCTGTAAAAAGAAAAAAGAATTAGTATTCCAAATATACGCTAGATGGCGTTAGAGATAATATATGTCATGGAATCTTCTCCTTCATGTATCTCATCTGGGCATGTATAATAATATACTCTTTATTGCACATAAAAACAAAAATTCAAATATTAAAAGAAAATTGAAGGCAAAGGTGGACTTATCTCTAAAAGAGATTTCTTTCAGTCCATTAACCTAGGAGGTAAAGGAGAAAAATTGTCTTTAGCGGATATAAAGAAAAATTAGTTCAAATAAATGTCAAAAGATGGCGTCAATCGTATCGCTGTGTAACTTCATTCATTACGTCATGATCTAGATAATGGAAGATCGTAGGTAATTTGTACTATATAGACATATCTACTTATAAAAAAATTACGCCACTTAGATATAATCCATAGTACTTTCTGAACATTACATATGCAAACAATAACTAAATTAAGTGCACTCATATAAAGATACGGTTTAATAATGTAACCCGTTTATTACATATTAATCGTTGAACTTAATAAAACGATAAAATATCCATCCATAAAATATATAAAACTTTAATATTTTGACCGGCTGAGTGATTCATCAAATCCCATAGGAAATGGAAGGAATGCTGAACTGGGCATAACTTATAGTAAATCTGGAGTAACACATGCTACTGTTGGTAATAAAATTTGTCAAAAGGTGGCGCTGTCTGTATATAATATTTTATATACCAATGATATTTAATTCTTATTATCTTATATCTTTAAACGAGCAATTCTTGTATATATATATAAAAATAAAAAGTAGCCTATCTCACTCTCGAGCTCTCCAACTCCTCTCCACATCTCCACACAAAATCACGCCAATTCGTCACTCTGTTTCGACGTGAAAGAAAGACAGACAAACAAACAAACAAACAAACACTTTCACATTTATAATATTAGTATGGAAATAAGTAGTACTTATCGCGGAAGATTACTTAATTCCCACGCGAAAGCACGTTATAATACAATCTAAAAAAATATTTATTATCAAAATTACTTGAATATATATACTATTCAATAAAATTAAATAAATACGTGTCTTTGCATTTTTCAAGATTCATCCTTTAAGGGGGTAAAATAGGGGATGAAAGTTTGTATGAAACTACCTTACCGAGCGAGCAAAGCCGCGGGTTGTGCTAGTTACAAAAATATATACAACTTGTACGTCACAAAATCGAGTCACAAAAATATATATGGTGTTAGTCATATGTGATGTCAGCCTACTTTAAGTTAGTATAATTTTATGCTAGTGTATCTTATTATATTGGTGCAGAATTACAGTAAAATTAACCCTAAAGTACCCTAGTAACCCTAGTTCGCATTAAGTTAGTATTTTAGTCTAGTAGCGAGTAATTTAGTAACTAAACGTGTCTAAACACTAAAAATTTAGTCGATTAGTTTAGTAAGTAATTTAGTCGAGTCAATCCATTTTACTCTATTTTTTTGGGCGAGTAGCAGCCCCCACCACGCGTCCGAGCTCACTGGTTCACCGGCTAAACAAGTGCGAACCTGTCGAATTAGTCGAGTTCATTAGTTGCCGCCATAATGTCGTTTCGCTGGAGCGAAGAAATGACTTTTAAATTTGTTTCGAAATATGTTGAACACGAATGCTTGTGGAATATTAGGTTTATATAGTTAGTTAGTTTTGTTGTTAGTTAGTTAATATTAGGTTATAAAAACAAGCATATGAAACATTCCGCATACTTAGATTTGGAAAAAATAATGAATATACCCGGATTTAGCGAAAAAGATTTTTGATTATTAATCACACAAATTTCCTCATCCACCTCTTCTAAAATAGCCGTTACGATCAGCTTAATCAGTTTATTTACTTTATTGCGTTGTAGGCTGTTCATCTTGCAAAACACCACTCACTTGTAAACTGTACTCGACCAAAGTGCGAACGATTTTTGGTGAGTAGCGAGTAATTTAGCTACTAAATTACTCGCTACTAGACTAAAATACTAGCTTAATGCGAACTAGGCTTAATGGTTGTCTCATTACTCTTCCGCTCCGAAACCTATAACAACTTATATCTTTAAAAGTCATTTAGGATAAAAAATCGTTAATTGTAATTTCAACTATCTAATTATTGGCAAAAATTAAAAAGCCGTAAATAAAAAAAAATATAAAAATAAAAAAAACCCGACTGCATAAAAGCTAACTAAAAAGATGAAAATAAGTTGACGAGGGAATAAAATAAGCAGGCAAGAATGAAAGTTAGGTTTTTATTTTTATAATAGAATTTTTTTTTACAAATGAATTGTAAGACATTTTTTTTATATATATTTATTATAGACTAGCATTGCCCGCGGCTCCGCCCGCGTTCAGATGACCAAAAACCAAATTCTTAGGTTTTACATATTACTATACTCTTACATTGCAGTTTTTGTATTTTTCTCAGAAATGAGACATTTTTCCGCGGTAAACAGTATCCTATATGTTGACCCGGATAACCGGTTATCTTCATACCAAATTTCCTCAAAATCCCTTCAGTAGTTTTTCCGTGACGCTGTAACAGACAGACAGACAAAAATTCTAAAAACTATAGATTCGGCCTCTGTATCGATAATAATGTCTATTTCAATAAGATTTTTCAAGAAATATTTCATGTACAGACTTGGCTTAGTTACAATTTTATTATATGTATAGATAATACGTATGGATATTATGGTAATGTCTTTTAATCTTCATATTAAAAGTTACTAATTTGTAGCTAAGCAAATAAGTACTTGTAACTTTATATGAACATAAAATAACTATAAACATCCTTAGAGAGACGTTCAAAGAAAATAAACATTTAAATCGCTCGAACAGTCATTCTAAAGAAAACTTCACATGAGAGTTTGCCCTTTTCTAACGTTACCGCGAATAGAACGTAAACGCAACACATATTGGAGAGGGCTGATTAATTAAAACCATGTAGGCGGCAGGCATCGGCGCGTAACTATCGGTTCTAACTAGAATTTCCCGTGTTAGCTTAATACGGTTATTTATTTAGACTGGATAGTGTTTTTTGAATTTCATAATATTATACTAGCGACTTTCTCTCATTTTCCTCAAGTGCATCCGTAGGTGCTTTTGGGATTTATAATGTTTTGTATAGTGCCACCTTTTGGCCAATTTTATCACTAACAATAGACAATATGTTACTCAACTCATAATTTATCTGTGCACTAAATTTCATCTAAATCGGTCTAACCGCTTCAGCGCGAAAGACATACATAATATACAAATTTTTCATTACATTTAAGACAGTAGTGTGATAATAAATTCGATAGTGCAAAAAAACAAAGGCACATAAATGTTTTGCATAGATTAGTATAATTTAAACCTAATAGGTATGACATAGTTTATGAATTAATGAATGATACTAAATAAATATTTTTTATTACTTTTTTTATATGATTTAAATTTATTTCTTTTAATTTTAGGGTCATGAGAATAAAAAATGAAAATTCAATATCAGTTAACCAAGTAGAGAAGATATGGGTGGTTTTGTTAAAGGTATAATATAGCGACGAAAACAATATAAGATTTCTTTGCGAGGGAAGACACGACAATCACGCGGAGTGACGGAAAGGGCTCTCGGGAAACCTTTTCTATTTTTATAATATCTTCTTTTAGAAGTTTACATTACATATGTGATATGAAACATGGTATTGCTTTAATATTTTTAAACCTAAAACGACGACGTAAAAGACGGTATGCCATAATTAATTAATTTTAATTTCTACAGCTCGTTATTTTTTATTTGAGATTTAATTAAAGATTATTATGACATATTTAAAAAAATCTATTTGGCATAAAATGTGTTGATACATTTTTTGTGTGTACAGTGACAGTATAAAGTTATGTATAGAAAAGAAAATGCTTAGTGAGAAATTATATATAATAAGCTTATATGAAAAGCTCCTTAGTAGCGTAAAGTGCAGAAGTTTAAACAAAATATATATTTCTACCTGTTACGCGAACATTAGCGGATCCTCTTACCTGATTAGCATTAAGCATTTTATTCTGATTGCATTCTCATTACATTAGCTTCTATTTGTTTTTATGGATGCTATTTTTAGTTTAATTAATTATCATCTTCACCTTTGGGAATTAGCGTGAAATCAAAGCTTTTTCAAAACTTACTCGACTAGATTTTTATGTATCTTAGTATTTTCACAATGACGAATTAATATTGAGTAAGAATATAAAGTAAGTAGTTTAAGCAGTTTGCTGGCCCATACCATATTACTTGTACAGACTAGTCCCTTGGAGTTAAAGCTCAGATTCATGTTATCATGCAATTGCATCTGCTATTTTTTTTCTTGTAATACCCAATACAGGTATTGCTAGAATTAGAAAATATCGAGAATTTCTGGGAGAATGAAAATTTGGATTACTTATTGTTTTTCTTTGTGAGATATTCACAAAGAATATTTTAAGAAATTGGTCGAAAAATTAAAAAAAAACTAAACCACCAAAATATCAGATCTAATTATTGATAAGAACCATCCAGGTGACCCTATATGTACTACACTAAAAAAATCGGTTAAGTTATTTAGGAGAAGAACAATTACGAACACACGCACATCCGTATTTTATGTAAATAAATAAAGCCTACGCATTATGTATATAAAATTCGTTTCATAATCATATATAAATAAATGC